TGGAGAAAAAAAGGCAATCTTCCGTGTGAACTGGAGTATAAATATACACATTTTCTGCCCCCATGTCTTGAATTTGTGATCATTCTGAATGTATTTTAATAGATTGAATCATGCAGTGATCAGGCAGAGCGCACTCTAAATGCGCACGGGCACTAGACTTCACGTAATGCATACATTCTGTAGGTGTTTTGAATGTTTGTTTGTTTTTTGCGTCGTGAGAATATTGAGTAAAATAGCTCACTTGTCATGGTGTTATTTAACTATATCATGTTATGAATAAACTAAACATTTTGAATTTTTACCTCAAGTGTGTTTCTTCTGAGTTTATGTGTGCGGTCACGCTCATTTGTTCTGAAGTCTCGAGACAAAAGAGACAAACGGAGTGAGCCTCAGCGCGAGCTTGTATTCTGTATTCTGATCATTTACTGCAGTTCTCTCTGATGACGCAGCAATTTACCGCGGGTCGGTCTGTCCAATAATTGTAAAGTCATTAGGTCCGTCACAGACTGAAGATATTTTAGCGGTAATGAGACCAAAAATATTTAAGACATTTTAAGACTTTTTAAGGCATTATATTAGGAAAACGTTATTTAAGACATTTTAAGACTTTTTAAGGACCCGCGGACGCCCTGTCTAAAGAAAGAGGTAAGTTTTTTAAATGGTATTTATCGATATGTAGCACATTTTCATAAAATGAATCTATGCCAATGGATCTATGCCAAGGGAATCTATGCTGAATTTCACATTACAGCGAACAATGACTGATGCTTTACTACAAAATAATTTCATAATTTTAATGGTAAAAGACTATCAAATTTATATAGTAAAAACCTGTTCTCTAACTTTATATGGTGAAAAAAACTGTAATACAATTAATGTGAGATTTCATGTAATTTAACATTAAAAATGCTCCCGGTTTTTGACCAGTAATTTCAGATTGTTTTTTGTTTCTTTACAGTATTCAAAAAGGCATCACAAGGCAACATTAAAGCAGCAGCAATTAGTATTTATAGCATATGTGTGAGAAGCAAAGAAATTTCACAGACAATCATCTCCTGATCCAGATCACCGAGTTAGTGAATCAGTGAACTCAGCAATTGAACAGAATCTCAGATTTGTGGACGAATCATTTTGTGAACCAGAACAGTTTATCCATTGAAAAGATTCAAATTAAAAGAACAAACTGTTCACAAGTCAGACACTGATGCGGTTTTTATACTTTTAAACTCTCAGATAAAAAAAAAAAAAAAGGTACAAAAGTTGTCACTGGGACGGTAACTTTTCAAAAGGTACACTTTTGTTTCTTATAGGTATTATTATGTACACTTATTATGTAATATGTAACTAATAATGTACTTTTACGGTAACATTAAGTACTTTTTAGGTACTTCCCCAGTGACAAGTTTTGTACATTTACTCCAAGACTGTATAATCCTTTTGATGCCTTTGTGCCCTTTTTTAACCTTTAAATCTAAAATGAAAGCTAACTGTAATTGCATAAAAAAAAAATATATATCGTGTATCCATAAATATAGAATGAATCATTTTGAAATGAATTAAATAATTCTTTAAATACATTTCTATTTATAATGACCTTTCTGTGTCCTATGCAGCTGCAATGCGATTAAGACGTGATAGGGGGCAAAACTAAGAATTTGCAGAATAATAAGGAAATCTTTACATAAAGAAACACAAATATTCTACTAGGAGGTTATTTGATTGAAACAGGATTGAAAAATCAACACTACGATCTACTGGCTTCACATTTTGCAATATCCCTGATCTCCTCACAACGCCCCAGCTGTCGCACTGGTAATTTATGTGCAACAAACCAAAAGAATAATCAGCCTTTTTGAAACTGGACAGAGGGAGGAGGAGAGATAATACCTTTGATGACGAATTTCATCAATAACCAATTAGCCTCATCCTGGAAAACCCATTTCATGCAACCTGTCGTTTTAACAAAATTTGAAAAAAAACAACCCCAGATTGGTTCCTTTATAACCGATGCGACTAGCAAATACGGCCCTGTTTGAACTGTTACTTTCCGTGGTTCCGAACCAACTGCCCTTGCATCCCACAATGCTCTGGGCCTCACTGTACCTGCGATAACAGGATAACTGGAATATGCCATGGATCTGCCGTGCAGGATTCTGTCGCCTGGCAACAGACTGGCCGAATCGATTTCGCCTGCTTTATTATTGTTTTTTTGACAATCGGCATTTCCTTTGGTTAATGCTAATGCTCATTTCTTTTTAATTCATTAGGAAAATAGCAGCTTTATGGATGCGCAGCTATCAGATATCCTGTTAATTAGGACGCTGTGACGTGCTGTCTGTTTCATAACGAGAGGAAATAAGGTGGCACTTTCCTCCAGTGGCATCAGTAGTTCCAGCGCCTGGCTCTGACAGGCAACAGGAACGCTTCTCTCGAAACACTGAGCCATTGGCAAGCCTCATCAGCCAGCCAATTGAGAGGAAATAATTCAACATGGCTGCTGCTTTTGGCAGATTATAACTGGATGATCATAAAACACTGTCTCCCTTCCACGCAGCTAAATATGGCTCAGCTATTTTAGAGTGAAAAATCTGATGGCAGAAAGTCAAAGAAATGCTGAAGCTTTAAAATATAACGTACTCCGCAGCCAGATAATATATGCAAACTCGACAGGTGAAGGGCAGAAGGAAATGGCAGTCTCTTTGAAGTAAAACATGGGACAGAGCTTACGCTGGTTCCAATCAAGCAGAAGAGACCATAATAAGCTGATCAAGCACTGTAAGGACGATTCACATCATCATCTTCACATAACAGGATGGTTCTGTCTGGGAAAAGAGATGTACTTGCATATCCACAAAACTGGGTCACAAGCACTATGCTCTCAAAAACCATTTGCACAAAATCTCCACTATATGCATTCGGTCTAAAGTTTTAACTAGGCCTGTAAATCAATTAGATTTATAACTTAATTATACGATCTATTGATTAACTAACTCCATAGTAACTAAATGCAATTAACTAACTGAACTACATGCATTCATTAATTGCAGCTTGCTCCAACTGTATCTTATTATATTACATTGTATTATATAATAATGTTAATAATAAAGATATTACTAATACCCACAATATAAAAAATATGTAGTATATAATAATGTTAATAATAAAGATATTACTAATACACACAATATTAAAAAAATAAACATCATAACAGAAATCTAATATATTAATTAGACCATTGTTTTAATAATTAATTGAAATTTAACATTAAATTGATAGCCCTAGAACAAATAATTGTCATTTTTGGTCTGAATTTGCAGTTAATGGTGTGAACAAAATGCAATGTAACTGACAGATATGTCTGCACATTTATAAAAGATCCTACACATCCTACATTTCTAAAAGTATTGCTCAAACATGGGTATAGGAAATACCCTGAATTTTGTGATTTTTGATTATTGGAATCAGAAAATTATGTGCGTCATCCCTCTGCTGTTTGCTCCCATTCCTGTTTTTGCACTACAGTTCAAATGTTAGCATAATATTTTTGTATGTTTTTGAAAGAAGTCACTTATGTTCACCAAGGCTGCATTTATTCGATCAAAATACTGTAAAAACAGTAAGAGTTGTAAAGAAAACATTACAATTTCAAATTACTGTTTTCCATTTTAATTTATTCCTGTGATGGCAAAGCTGAATTACTCCAGTCTTCAGTGTCACATGATCCTTCAGAAATCATTCTAATATGCTGATTTGCTGCTCAAGAAACATTTCTTATTATCAAAGTTGTGCCGCTTAATATTTTCCTGGAAACCGTGAATATTAAAGAGCACAGCATGTATTTGAAATAGAAACTATTTAAAAAAATGATAAATGCCTTTACTGTAACATTTGATCAATTTAATGCATCCTTACTGAATAAAAGTCATTCTGCCCCCAAACTGAAGTGTATAAGCACAATGGATAAGTATTGAATCCTGGACTTAATCTTTTAAAACATTTGAGACAGACACCAGTAGTAAACCAGATGACTGTTTTCTTTTCTCATCCCCAGACAACAGTGAAGGCAGCGCGTGGCATGAGTCAATCTTTATTCTGAGTCCCTGTTGCGAAAGCTGAAGGGTTGCTGCCACAAACGACATCTTAACCAGTCAAACAGAGGCACACTGTTGCTCACCACTCAGCCGACTGATTCATTCTCCTAGCAGGACGGCTTTCATCACCAGATGCGCAAACACTGAAAAAGGCCTTTAACCATTACTGTGTGTTCAGTGAACTGATAAGCTTATCTTCAGTGGGACTGCAATAACTGTATTGTCAGATGATACTGGCCACTAATAACTGCTCATATTGCTGCATTGCCACAATAAAGATTGAAAAGCAGAAATATAAAAGCTCTAATGTGCTGATAGCATCCGACACGATTGCTGCAAAAGACAATTAAAACAATATGAGTGAGAAAAGTCTTCCTTCCTGATGACACTACTAGTAATAGATTGATTGGTAGACAGATTGTGAAGGGTGAAGACTAGTTACAGAAATATCTACTCAAAGGTTTTGAATTCAGTTATTGTTTCACATTGTAAACCATTTCCAACCAGGGCTGCAAGAGAAAGAACGGGTCGCTGGAACCATATTAATTAATGGAGTTCGTTCATGGCGACTAAAAATGCCTTTTGATAAGTCTTTTGTTTGTAGCTGCGTGTTTTGGACAAAGGCTTAGATAAAAGCATATTTGATATGCAGACAAGTGTTTGAAAAGCGCTCTCGGTAGAAAGGAAATGAAAAAGGAGTGAATGGGATCTAGATGAGACCGACAATTATTTTGTTTATGTGAAAAACAATGATGAAATGAAACGCAGACAGAGAGATATATGTTCCGGGCAACTGAATTCATAGGATGGATAATATGATATATGTACATGCTTTTAAACTTGTAATAATGCACCAAACAGAATCTAAAAGAAGCGCATGTGTTATGTAGTCATGTGGTATCCACCTACCTCCACAATTGTGATCTTGGCTGCCTTGCACATGGGCTGGTTGAAGTTTCGTGCTGTTTTCCTGATATAAAAAAAAAGTACATGCTCAGTATTAAAGTCTGTAAAACCAACTTCAAACATCCAGAGCTGAGGTGAAATGTTATGTATGAAAGACTGGAATGTTCTCTCCTCTATTTACAAGGCACTGATGCTGAAATATAGTGAAATAGGCCAGAATGACAAGCTATAAAAATCTGTTTGACTATTGTCCAAAACAACTATTATCAAGTCATCATCCATAGTGGTGCCCTCATGCTAAAAAACTTTAACCAAAGCAGAACAAGCGAACATTCATTTTTAATGGAAAAGCAAACAGTGCACCCTTGTGGTAAAACAAAATGCTTTACAAAATTATGTAACATTGGAAATGTTAATGTTTTCAAATGCAATATAACACGATTTTATCACACATAGCAACTTTTATAACACTAATTCTATCATTTTAACAACATGTCTTTAGTTATATATTTTTTTATTTTAACATTTTATAATATTTGTTGCATTTTATACACGCACTGCCATTCAAAGGTTTGGGGTCAGTAAGATTTTTTTTAAAGAAATCAATACTTACTTTTTAAGAAATTAATACTTTTTAAAAAATACAGAATCTTGCAAAAATTTATTCAACTGATCAAATGTGACAGTAAACGCTTTAACACTGTTAAAAAATTCCAAATAACTGCTGTTCATTTGAACTTTCTACTCATTAATGAAGAATCATGGAAAATGCTGAAATTATGATTTCCACCAAAATATTAAGCAGCTTTAACTCTTTTTAACACTGATAATAGTAAGAAATGTTTCTTGAGCACTAAATCAGCACATTATCAGAATCATTTCTGAAGGAACATGACACTGAAGACTCGAGTAATGGCTGCTGAAAATTAAGCTTTGCCATAGGAATAAATTACATCTTAAAATATATTAAAATAGAAAAGTTATTTTGCATTGTAACAGGATTCCAAAATATTACTGATTTACTTATTATTGATCAAACAAATGCAGCTCTGTTAAGCAGACGTCCTCTGAATAGTACTGCATTTAAAAAGAACATTTAAAAAAATGTCACTATTGTATATTTTCTTATGTATTTTAGTACTATTTTTAGAACAATATTCTCTGTGGGTTGTATAATGAATAAAATGACTGGGTTTGAAATTACAGTCACTTTAATAGTTTGCCTTGTCTACTGTGTTTAAAGTTTAATCTAAAATAAGGTACTGTTTATGTCTCCTTTTTACAAAAGTGTCTAATGTGGCCTTCCCTTCAGTGAAACAGTCTGTGGGATTGTGCTAAACAGAAAGGTGAGAGAAAATTACTATTTTCATGTTTGGGCAAAACACCTACCACACCAGTGAACATGTGACACTGTACAGTTAAAGGGATAGTTCAAAAATGAAATAAATTGATGTTTATCTGCTTACCCCCAGGGCATCCAAGATGTAGGTGACTTTGTTTCTTCAGTAGAACACAAACGAAGATTTTTAACTCAAACCGTTGCAGTCTGTCAGTCATATAATGTCATATAATGCATGTCACACCTCTGTTCATCAATTTGCACTGGCTACCAGCAGCTGCTCGCATTAAATTCAAGGCATTAATGTTTGCCTACAAAACCACCACTGGTTCTGCACCCCTTTACCTAAATTCATTACTTCAGACTTATGTGCCCTCTAGAAGCTTGCGTTCTGCAAGTGAACGATGCATTATTGTGCCATCTCAAAGAGACACAAAATCACTTTCACAGACTTTTTCATTAACTGTTCCCTCCTGGTGGAATGACCTGCCCAACTCAATCCCAGCAGCTGAGTCCTTAGCCAGTTAGGCACCAGCTGTTGAGAACACGCTCAGTACAGTTCGGACATTGCGGTGAAAATCAGAGGTAAAAAACGATATAAATACTGTTCAGTTTCTTGCACAGACCGATCGTTTCGTGTCTTTACACATCAATGTATCGTCACGAGCCACAGGGTTTAATTTGGTTTTGTTTGTGTATGTTTTTTTTTACTCTCAAAGCCGTGATTCCCATTCACTTCCATTATAAGACTGACAGACTGCAATGGTTTGAGTTAAAAACCTTCGTTTGTGTTCTACTGAAGAAACAAAGTCACCTACATCTTGGATGCCCTGAGGGTAAGCAGATAAACATCAAATTTTCATTTTTGGGTGAACTATCCTTTTAAGGAAAACAACGTCTAGTCTATTTGAAGTAGGGCTGAACAACCTCAGAAAAAAATAGACACTTGTACCTGAAGATGACATTCCCAGCTTTGTCCGCTTTCCAGGCTTTGACCAGCGCAAAGTCGCCCGTGATGGATTTTTCCATGATATAGTGTCGGCCATTAAATTCACGCACCTAAAACACAACAATCTTATATCTATTTTTACTGATCACACTTCATCTGCAGAGACATCAGCTGTATTATTGTATTACTCAGTAAGACTGGAAGATAAAAGCAGCAGCTCTGACCTCTCTGGGTTCACTTGCGATGGCAATGGTGCCGTCCTTCTTGTATTTGATAGGCGAGCCTCCCTCTTGGATGAGTGTGCCATAGCCTGTGGCAGTGAAGAAGGCAGGCACGCCTGCGCCTCCGGCCCTGATCCGCTCTGCTAGCGTGCCCTGCCATCAACACAGCACAATGAGTAAACAAAATCCACCTGATTGGATGTTTTTGGAAGAATGGTACTATAAAATCTTTAGCATTCATATACTTGGCCATTGAGAACCAAGGGAAACCGTTTATTCTGAAGGTTTGGGTAAAGGATGGTCTCACCTGTGGGGTTAATTCCACCTCCAGCTCACCACTGAGATACTGCCTCTCAAACTCCACATTCTCACCCACATATGACGAGATCATACGCTTGATCTGTTTGGTCCGAAGGAGCAGGCCCAGGCCAAAGTCATCCACTCTGTGTAAACCATAAAGAAAATCAAAAAATACACCTTAATATGTCCTTATGCAATATATTTCAAACCAATACATAACTAATTTCTGTTTTCACCTTCTAGTATTTGCCTTAAGAGCACAACATGACTGTAAAAATTATCATTCTCCATTGATGACTATTCAAAAGTAACCATGTCAAATACATAATCCGAAATGGACTATATATTTTTCCTTGTCTGCTACCTTTGACATCATAGATCTAGTTAAGAGAATGTGTGCGGTCGCAACATCACAATGTCATTGTCTTAAATGTTTTAGGTCTCTTATGCTCACAGAGGCTACATTTATGTGCTCAAAAACTCAGTGAAAACAGTAACATTGTGAAATATGTATTATAATTTAAAATATCTGTTTTCTATTGTAATATATTTCAAAATGTAATTTATTCCTTCCTATGATGCAAAGCTGAATTTTCAACAGAATCATTACTCCAGTCTTCAGTGTCACATGATCTTTCAGAAATCATTCTAATATGCTGAGTCTGTGCTCAATTACGTTTCATATTATTGTCAATGTTGACAGTTGTGCTGCTTAATTTTTTTGTGTGGAAACAATGCACTTTTTCAGGATTCTTTGGCAAACAGAGTTTATTATTTATTTGTAACATTTTAATGTCTTTACTGTAATGTTTTTGTTAAATTCAGTGCATCCTTGCTGAATAAAAGATTAAATTAAATTAAACTTTTGAAAATCTATGGTTGAAATCTCTCAGTTGAAATAGTTAGGCACAGTGCCCTGAGATACTGTCTTAACTGCAAACCCATAAATACACATTTCTAGAAAAACAACGTCCAATTTAGGCTGAACTACTGTTGGAAAAATAGCACTTATTGCCTAAACAGGTCTAAATCCAGTGTCCAATGGGCATTCTGTAACAAACAGGTCATTAAAATTCAAAACACGCAGAGAATACGGAGACAAAGGCCGCACAACTCATTTTTACAGCAAGAAACATGAAACATTTTACAGATCTGTCGGACCTCCTCAGTTTGGTGTGTGCGGTGGCTTGGCACAGTTACAGAAGCAGTGACTCAAAACTGATTTTGTCACTCATTAACTAATGGCGTGAATTACTGAGACTTGAAACGCACTGAGGTATAAAAATGTTGGCAATCCTTTTTTAAAGGTAGTCAGTGCAGTAGAGCAGATCTGGACATTTTTACCCTGTTAATACCAAAGGTGTTCTGGTGAAACATGAGGGGGAAATGTTTGATGAAAGTTAATACAGACGTTTTATAAGTGCATGCATATTTTATTTTTAGGTTCATTCAATCAACGGGGAGCACAGACTCTTCATGTCACGACTCATTCACTGGACCGAGAAAGGTTGCAATTAGACGCATACTGTGTCATGCCATGTTCTCATTAACTCTCTTCTAATGTGTCTTCTTCACTTTTTCTCCTGCCAGAGAAATGACAAAGGCTTTTTAGTGCTTAAACTAGTTTTAAGAGAAAGGAAAAAAGAAGCCGCTATCTAGGTCATATGTGCGTAGAATCTACTGAGGTAATTTCTGTATTTTATAAAAAGCACAATAACTTACCTAGTGCAAGTTAATATTGAGCCACTTACATTTTAGACAATATTGCCAAAAGTTACTTATTCTTGCTCTGCCAGTGGAAAAAGTTCAAAATGACGTTAAAGCAAAATCAGGATAGTGCATCTCAGTGGTGTTGTTTTATTCTTGAATAAATCTGTTATTTTGAGCAACTGTTTAAATTAATGATTCACTCAAAAAGACAGGCTGTGCATAAAATCACCCCCTATACCCACATATAGTGCATTATTTGAGGGGACAGCCGTTTGTTGTGTTGTCCGAAACCAATGTTTGACATTATCGAGTCATTCGGTCCCATAATGTACCACATTAATAACTGATGTACACTCAACAACTAGCTGCTAGTGCTAATTCACATTCACTGAGGGTAGCGCCCTGTATTCCCAGAACTCGCCTGCAGATGGCGCACTCAGCGTCCAAATTTGCTCACTTGTTTTCATTCACTGCTTTTTCCTGAATGAATCTGTGTTTTTAAATAAATCATTTGAATGAATCAAATGAAAATAGTCACTTTAACATGCCAAAAAAGTTACTGAAACATCCACTCCACCATTATACCGACTTACAGTCAAACACTGAAAAGTCCCAGTGCTGTAGGATCTTAAAATCAGCACTCTTGGAATACTTCTCAGTCAATTAAATTCAAGACGCGGAACTAACTGTTGTATAATTATCCCTTTAACACTGCTACAAAGTTGAGGCAGCTCTTTCAACTTAGAATAACACCAGTCTGTAACCAGATAATACACAGTGGCCAATATAACTACTTCCAAAGAAGTCAGCACTCCATTTCTAAGTAATGAGCAACACGTTAAAAGTATCAGCAGGGGTTGTTGATGGAAAGAAGTTGCATAGGAAATGGCGTCCTTCTGTGCGAGCTACGCACGCTAATGCCAAGCACTGCTGTGACGCTGGTTTCACATTACAGTCTCACTGAGAAGTCTCTCTGTGGTAGACCGAAAGATTTTCACCACAGAGATTCAGAACTCGCAGAACAAGGTCTACGACAACAAACAATGCAGTCAAGAACAGCAGGACTCAAACAGTCAGACGGGAAGGAAATAAACTTCAAGAAGGGAATCAGTCGAGAACTTTCTATTTAAAACGGGTCAAAACTTCCCTTGAGGGAACTCTGGAAAAAAGCCAGATGTATTGAACTAAAAGGGTGCTTTTATGATTTTGGGAAGTTTATATTTTGTTATAAAGGAGCTGAAAATAATAAATGGTGTAGGAAAAAGTTTTTTTGTGTGTATTCATCATATACAGTGGGTACGGAAAGTATTCAGACCCCCTTACATTTTTCACTCTTTGTTATATTGCAGCCATTTGCTAAAATCATTTAAGTTAATTTTTTTTCCTCATTAATGTACACACAGCACCCCATATTGACAGAAAAACACAGAATTGTTGACATTTTTGCAAATTTATTATTTAAGCCTGACTAGGATGATTAGAATGGACTTTATCGCTTTCTTCAACCATCTTCAGCACTAACCCACACTGTCCTCACTCTCTAGTCACGATAGAAATTTAAAAAAAAAGACCCAAAATAACATACCTGGCCCATTTTCAGAAATTACGCAATAATATATTCATAGACAACCAACCTGGGAAAATGCCAGAACAGAGAGGCCTATACATAGTGTCAAGTCACATGTTCACAGCAGGTGCAACATAGCAGCAATAAACCAAACACCAATATCCAATAAGATAGTAAATAGACTGTATAACTAGCCATTAAAAAAAAACATTTACTCCTTCTAAGAAGGAATTTTGATCATTCATTTCCCTGTGTTCACTGTTCTGTATTTACCAGTATGCCTAGGCCTACTTGACAGATTAGACTTGTTTATCCTGTCTGAGAAAAAGGTGGTGTGATGCTTCATACTGGTAATCTCTTTCTATTTGTGGTTAGTTGTGCACACATTATCAACGTCGTTTAAGGGAGAAATTCTTGTAGCGACATCTAGAAAACAACTAAGGTTATGGACAGTGTTACGTAATCAGATTACTTTTTTCAAGTAACTAGTAAAGTAACGCATTACTTTTTAATTTACAAGAGAATATCTGAGTTACTTTTTCAAATAAGTAACGCAAGTTACTTTTTTTTCCAATTTATTAACTGACAGCTCTCCTGTCCCCATGTTGAGAGAAATCAGAAGATGTTACTGTAGTTCTAAAATAAATATAAATATGGATTAATTCATCTCACTCACAAAAAAAAAACACGGATTCAGTATTCCTCAAAATGAATAAAAATAATGCAACTCCGAATATGATGCAAACCTGCAATAATTAAATTTTAAACAACACAAATATCCTTTATGTATTTAATCCCATTCTATTTGCTTCTGACCTTCGATGATCCAGTTCAACTATACTAATAAGCCAAAATTACTCTAGACAAACACTTGTGTCTTTTTTTTATTGCTGAAGTGTGTTGAAATGACTTCTGCATTCTACTGTACGGACGTAAATGTACTTTCCCTTCAGCCTGAGGCTTATTCATTTCACTTTTGGTGTGAAAGGCTTTTATATTTGCCAAAAATA